GGCTTCTAACTAGATGCTCGCAATGTTAACCTCCAACTGGGATACCCGCAAGTTAACCTCTAATAGCAAATCTGACTTGTCTTGCTGGTCGTGAAATTGATTAATTAGATCAACTTCCACCCTCTCAGAAAGTTTGCCGTGTGTATGCTGCCGCGAGCGGATATTTTATGGCGTACACGCTGATCCAATGTCTTGTCGATTTTGTCGAATCTCCACGCAAGAGATTGCTAAATATGGTTGTGTCTTTTTTTCTTTCTTTTTTTTTTCTCGCTTCGTTAGAAAAACCGGTTTTGTGCTACACGATTTGATCGCCTTACTTCAGACGCCATCGCTTTTGTGAGTCCCAGTCGGATCCGGTTCAGTTGTCTTTTTCCTTGTTAAACAATTACAATTATTTTATTTCCCGGTTGAGAAGGAGGAAAACGATAAAGTAACCTTTATTAACCTTCCAACAAATGAGAACGGTGCATTAAAAAGAAGTAGCATTTCATCGTATCGCACATTTGAATCAGAAACTGCTTTCATCAGACCAGAGCAACTGACCTTCCGTATGATATGTATCTATCGACCGCCACCTAACAAGAAAAATAAATTTACAAGTAAAGAATTCTTCATATAATTCCAATATCTACTCTTTCAACTAGAGCAAGCTGCCTCCCCCTTTTACATCATAGGGGATTTCAACTTTCACTTTGATGTTCCATCTGCACCAGACACCAAACGCCTTGTTTCACTTCTTGACGACCATAATCTAAAGCAGCTAATCGAAGAGCCGACACATCGTAGTGGTCACATTTTAGACCTGCTAATTACCAACACTGCTGACCCACATGTTCTAAAACATCAGGTTCTAAATAAGGCGATCTCTGACCATTCTCTTCTGATAGCTGAGATTAACATCTCCAAACCAAAACACGAAAGAAGAAGCATACTTTCAAGGAACACGAGAACAAATTTAGACTCACAGGCACTTCGGGACGACGTGAGCAAAACACGGACAAGTCTATCATCCCTAGATGCTGACACATTTCATGACACTCTGAAAGCGGCAATCGACCAACATGCGCCAATGGTAAAAAGAAACATTTCATCGAGACCCTTTTCTCCGTGGTTTTCACCTGAAATCAAAGAAGCCAAGCAACATCGACGTCAGGGAGAACGCAGGTGGAGGAAATCAAAACTTCAAGTTCACAGAGACATCTTTATTAACCACCGAGACAAAGTCAACTCAGTCATCGAAAATAACAAGAAAAGATACTATCTAGATGAATTACAAGATGTTAAATCACCCAAACAACTCGTTCAGACAACCAATGCTATTCTAGGATAAGAAACAATATCCCCTCTCCCCCCTGCAACATCAGATGACGAACTTTGTAGTTTATTTATGACTTTTTTCAATGACAAAATTAATACCATACGCTCTTCTCTCGGCCTAGAGCCAAATGGAAATGTAGAATTTTCAGAATTTACAGGACAGATATTAGATTCTTTTAGTCCAGTTGCAAATAGTGATATTTTAAATTGTATTAATGGGTCAACCATAAAAACATGTGACCTTGACCCAATGCCTGCTCATGTACTCAAAACCTGTATTGATATTGTCCTACCTCACATTACTCAGATATGTCAATTGCCACAGGCACAGTACCTAATACTTTCAAACAAGCTATTGTAAAACCTTTATTGAAAAAACCCGGGCTTGATAAAAATGAGTTAAAAAACTATCGACCAGTTTCGAATTAGCAATTTACCTCAAAAATGCTAAAGAAGATTGTTTTAAGTCAAGTTTTGGCTCACGTGAGAAAAAATGGTCTTGAGGAAATTTACCAATCTGCCTATAAAACTCTTCATAGTACCGAAACTGCGCTTTTAGAAGTAACGTCTGATTTATTGGATTCCGTTGATAGCAAAAACATCTGTCTTTTAACTCTTTTGGATCTGTCGCAGCTTTTGACACAATTGACCATGCTATTCTACTCACAAGACTTGAGCGCTCATTTGGCTTATCGGGTACCGTGCTTTCATGGTTTAAGTCATATTTACTAGAAAGAGTTCAGTCAGAGCAAATTAAAAACAGCTTTTCAAAGCAGGTCAGGCTCGATTATGGAGTTCCACAGGGGTCCGTTCTTGGACCAGTGCTCTTTACACTATATACTCAGCCCTTAGCAAGCATTTTTCAAAATAATGGTTGAATTATCATTTTATGCCGATGATTTCCAAATGTATGTTAATGGCACCATTCAAGATCTGCCAAACATGATTTCTATCACTAAACAATGTTTTCATTAAATTAAAAAGTGGATGACAGTAAACAAATTGAAACTAAACGAAGATGAGACAGACATCATTCTTATAAAAGAATCCACGATTAAATAAAGGTCTGGAAAGTGTCAACTTTGATTTATATGGGCATATGACATGTAGTAAAGAAGTTGTCAAGAATCTCGGTGTATATATTGACCACCACTTATCAATGGGCTCGTTGTGGGATCTATGTCCAAATCCATTTATTTTCAGCTGAGAAGGATAGGCCTAGTTCTAAAGTACTGAACGAAGAGACCACAAAAACTCTTGTAACATCTCTTATCCTATCTAGATTAGACTATTGTAACTCACTCCTAGCAGGTCTGAACCACAAATATTTGAATCGTTTACAAGTAATTCAAAACAATTCCGCTAGACTGATAACAAGATCTAAAAAACGAGACCATGTCACTCCATTATTAAAAGAACTGCATTGGCTCCCGGTAAAAGAAAGAATAATATTTAAAATCTGCGTCATGTGTTTCAAATGTGTAAATAAAACTGCTTCTTTTTATCTACAAGAACTTATCAGTTTATATAAGCCAGGGAGAAACCTAAGATCATCAAACGATAACATCCTACTTGTGACACCTGTAAAATCATACAAATCATATGGAGAGAGATCTTTCTCATATCTTGGTCCATTTATGTGGAACAGATTACCAATAAAACTAAGACAAATAAAAACACTTGATAGCTTCAAAAGACATATTAAACATTTTCTGTTCCCACAGGCCTATCCTTCATATGTTTTTAACGTTATTTTTCATTATAGTTGTTCTGTTCCTATGTCTGGATGAAAATAGACTCTCTCTCTCTCTCTCTCTCTCTCTCTCTCTCTCTCTCTCTCTCTCTCTCTCTCTGCCTGTGTGTGTGTGTGTGTGTGTGTGTGTGTGTGTGTGTGTGTGTGTGTGTGTGTGTGTGTGTGTGTGTGTGTTCATTAATATATAATATATATTGCATGAGAAGAAAAGAAGTAGTAAGAAAGGTTTTGAAAAATGGGTATTCCAATGTAAAGCGCATTGAGCTACTTTTTTGGAAATGCGCTATATAAATGTTATATTATTATTATTATCATTATTATTATTATTATTATTATTATTATTATTATTATTATTATTATTATTATTATTTCACAATAGACACAACTTATTCGACAAAATCTGGGTTCAGCTGTTCACTTTTCTCCTACTCTAAAGGCCGTTATTATGTCGGTGTGCTTCTCTTTACTCCAACAATGAGCCGTGGGTTATTTTGTTTTGTTTTTAAATTTTAGTTTAACAATGGCACTCAATGTGGCTAGTTGGAGCCCCAATGATCATGCAGAATGATTTTGTGGAAGAAATGTCGACTCTACTTAATGCCCAGTGCACACTGCGAATTATATTCATTTATTTATTCTGTTAATTTGGGACCAGCCAGATTTTTTTTCTTCATGGAGGGACAAAAAAGCTACCATTTCGGCACACCACGACAGATTCGACTCCCGACCTTGAAAAACAAACACGTTTGATTTTGAAGATCACAGTCGTCGAATTAGGTTGAATTCGATCATCGTATGCCAAAAATGTAGCGGTTGCGCCTCCAAGAAGGAAAATCTGGCTGGCTCGACTTGATCAAATGGATCTAATTGGCAGTGCGCACTGGGTGTTATTTTAGCCTCACGCGCGACCATAATATAATGCATTTGGTGTACCCAATTTGTATATAAAAATAGTACATGTCTGTGTGCACGCGCAACTATGTAACAGCTGTATCGAAGGCTTCTCCCGGACTGAGTCAGTCGTCGCTCACAGCGCCCGTGCAATGTGCGTGCATGGAGAGAGAGAGAGAGAGAGAGAGAGAGAGAGAGAGAGAGAGAGAGAGAGAGAGAGGGAGAGGGAGAGGGAGAGCGGAGGGAGGCGAGGAGTTGGCTGAGCCAGCGCGCGCGCGTGCGACCCGGCCAGGCGCGTCATCCGCGAGTGATGCTGTCTCAAACAATGGCACTGTGTTACCTCACACAAACTACAACTGGGTAAGCCTTCATTTCTGAAAGAACCGGATTCAAGGTACACCTTGTTCATAAGAACCGGGTTCGTTGTTAGTTGTTTTTTGTTGTTGTTGTTGTTGTCGTTGTTGTTGCTTTCTTTTCCGTACTCTCGATTTATATGACCTTATTGTGTTGCAAGTGCCGTAAAACTCTTAGCAAAACTAAAACTAACTCACGACTTCGTCTGAACAAATTCCCCTTTTAGTATGAATGCTCGGAGTCAACCAATCAGGCTAATCAAGAATTAGTACACTGCTCTTATTTTCAGCTTTCAGCTTAATATTTTCTTACCTAAATGACTTTCTTACAGCCTTTGTGCTGTGGTTGAGGCTAAAGAGGCAAGACCAAAAGAGAACTCGAACTATAGTCAGAACAATTAAATGTGGAAAACAATAATTCATCTCCAAAGAGAGAGCTGTTCTAGCTCAATACACCTCAGGGGCATATCATTATCATATTATTGTTGTTCTGCTTCTTCTTGTTCTTTTCCTTATTGTTGTTGTTGTTGTTGTTGTTGTTGTCGTTGTTGCACTAATGTTGTTACTGTTGTTGTTTTGACGTACAACTGGTTACTGATTCGGATCACTGGCTCATGAAGCGCGAGAGACCGTTTCAGAGAAACCAACCGGTTAATCGGATTTGTACTCGGATTTTGCCCACTTCTAACCCAAACCCAGCCAGACAGTCTCATCTGTTGGCTGTTGTACAGCTCCCAGAAAATCGTGGACCTCTCGATCACTCCCGTGTTGTGTTTCTCGTGGAAGATTCCTGTTTCGACACGGACCTAACAGTGTGTCATATACTTTCCCCTTCGTGCGGATCAACCCTACTTTAAATCGGTACGTATTATATATAGATCTATATATATATATATATTATCAATACAATAATGTAAGTGATGTTTGTTGTGTCTCAATAGCGCGTGCTTTTTCAACAGTTTGTGAGCGAGGGAGGGATGGAGGGAGTGAGTGAGTGAGCGGATTGCTATCAAAATGCGAGGGGAGGGAGATATATTCCTCTCTTCGTTTTGGTAATACCATCGTCTGCGGTGGTTTGTTAGAAGCAGTATCTGTCAGAATCAACTCCTATCGACTTGGCACAATGCCGGGGAATCTACGTTCGCACTTACTACTACACTAGACTCTTTTTCCTAGCTCTGCCTCACTGCCACCACCGTCTTCTCCTTCTTCTTCTTCTTCTTCCTCCTCGATTTCCCTGCGGTTTTGCTTTGGCTTTCCTACTACTACAGATGATGATATTGTACGTTATTTGGTAGTTTAGACTGTGGAGTGGTTGTGTGTGTGGTGAGTGTAGTGGTTGTGGAAAGGAGGAGGAGGAGGAGGGGGGGGGGATGAAGGGGAGAGTGAGTCGGGGAGGAATGGGGGGGAGGGTGATGGTGTGGAGCGTTTGGCGTGAGATTGAACTAGACAGGAGACCTGGTGGGCCGGGTTGTAGCGAAGCGTCTGTCGACTCATTGATTTAGGTCACACCATATCGATTAAGACGCCATTAGCTCAGTCCATCTGAAATTTCATGTTGCTCGAGAGAGAGAGAGAGAGAGAGAGAGAGAGAGAGAGAGAGAGC